TTCGACAAAAATTAAAAGTAGAGAATTCTCCATTTTTATAAGTTTATTTGATACACATACATGTTCTTATGTTGTGTAGAAAGTTTGAACTCATTTCGATCAAAGTTGGATTTTTTACGAATTTTTAAAGTTGCTTCAAAATCAGGCAAAAGTCCCTGTACTATAGTACATGGTCTCGAGCCAAATTTCGCCAAAAATGAAAAGTAGAGAATTCTTAATTTTTATAACTTTATCTGATACATATACATGTTCTTATGTTGTGTTTAAAGTTTGAGCTCATTCCGATCACAATTCGATTTTTAATGAATTTTTAAAGTTCCTCCAAATGACGTGTACATTGTACATACTATATAGCTGTATTGTAGTGCTTGTCAGCTTATGAAGTATACTTTGCAGGAAACACTCATACAAGTATACATGTACACGTACACACATACCTACACAATCTCTTGTAAAGTTGATATTTCCTGTACCTTTTATCAACAGCTTTGATCCTTTCTTGTCCCTTTCCTCTTTATGTCACGTTGACTTGTTTTGTTGTAACTTTACTTTATCTCAAAGTAAAATAAAAGAATCTTTATACAATAGCTTTTCTCTCTCTCTCTCTCTCTCTCTCTCTCTCTCTCTCTCTCTCCAGTGGGTTCGTATCCAACCGACTGGTTTAGTTCATTTCAAAACAAAGTTAGACGGTTACCATTATTCGTGGAACAAGCCTCACACGACTGTACACAATCTCATTATCGGCCAGTTGTGGGCGGATCATGAGGGCGTGGTCACGGTAACCTCGCACCAGACAGGTGACCGGGCCGTGGTGAATTGGAACCCGCACAGCAAATCAAAGGATAACTATAAGCAGATTAATGGTATGTTAAAAAATGAATTTTAAAGTAGGCAGCAACAGAAAATCACTAATAATAATAATAATAATAATAATAATAATAATAATAATAATAATAATAATAACCTACCTTCATTAGGTGAAGTGACAACAAAGGATGGTATTGTCATTTATAATCTCGAGGGACGATGGGACAAAGGGATGGACAGGGTTGACCCAGGTTTGTAAGCCATTAATTATCAGTACATGCAGTACTACTGTATCCTCTTGTGTCTTCAGATGGTAGCAATAGGAACAACTTGTGGACTGCACACGAGCCTCTACCTGATAATGACAGACAGTATGGATTCACTCTATTCTCCATGAGTCTTAATGAACATGATGATAGTAAGAGAGGGAGGGTAATAAAGTAGAGAGAGAAAGACTAATCTACATGTAACAACTAATACTGTTACTTTATGTACATGTAAATAATAATGATAATACAATATAACTCACATTTACTTTATCAAAAGGTGTTGAGTGTCCAACTGACTCAAGAAGGAGACCAGATCAAAGGCTCCTTGAAGAAGGACAGGTAATGCTTCAAGATTAATAACATCTTATTGTGTTTATCTTGCTGTAGATTGAAGAGGCTGGAGAAGAGAAGGTAAGACTAGAAGAGAAGCAGAGAGCAGCCAGGAAAGCAAGAGACAAGAAGAAGGAAGAATGGAAACCCAGGTAACTACTAAAAAAAGAGATAAAGACAGTATACAATATAATAATGCTAGAATATCTTAATGCATCATTCACATAATGTACATGTACATTATTCTCTCTCTAACCTTATTCTTTCTCTACTCATAGATGGTTCACAGAGAAGTTTGATCCAGACACTAATACTTCTTATCACGTGTTTGATGGCCATTACTGGGACGCTAAACTGAACAAGGACTATACAGTATGTCCTGATATTTTCTAATATTTCTCCTACCACCTCCTCCTCCTCAATATAATATTGCTAAAAACACCATTATAGCTACTTTTCTGCTTATTATTATTATTATTATTATTATTATTATTATTATTATTTGTCATTACCTGCTCTGTAATGTAATAATATTAATACATGTCTCTATTTATTCAGAATTTTTGTGAAATTCCACAAATGCTATTTATTATTATTATTATTATTATTATTATTATTATTATTATTATTGTTTTTGTGGTGCTTCTGTCTCCATAAAAATTTTCTTCTTATTATTGTTATTATTATTATTATTCTTTTTCTTTTGTTGCTAGCTGTACTTCCATCTAATGATTGATTTTTGTATTATAAACAAAATGAATTTTACCATTATTATTATTATTATTAATATTATTTATACCTGTAACATTTCGTTGCTGATTGACTTGATTGGTGTCAGTTTCATTGGATTACGAGTGGACGGCTGAAAGATGGAGGTGTGGTCATACTCATGTGGGTTGACCTGTATCCATGGAAACCCCTACAGGTGACATACATGTACACGTACGTACACAAAATAATAATAATTGCCGTACAGAACTAAATTTTAGAAAAGCATAAGTTTTAATTTCTATCACGTACCATATTTGGACTGATTTTATATTTTCAAGTACATGTACATGTGCATTTAAAGAAATGAGAAATTGAAAAATGAGAATTGTCTCTCTCTCACTGACTTCCTCCTCTTGCTGGTGTGTCAGGTTAGCTGCTTTAGATTTCTCAGTGTGTACTAATATGGTGAATGGTGGACTGTCTGATTGGGTGTGGTCAGATAGTTCCTGTAGGCATGGCTTACACAGTACGTCACTGATACTGATTTTGAGTAATGCTGATCTCAGCGATTCTTCAACCTTGAGTAAATAGGAGTCATTCCTTTAATTGCATGTCATGTGACTGTTACCATGGTGATATTACAGTGTACTTACTTTATTGCTGAAATGTCTGGAAATTTCAAAATAAATTGAAACACTTCAGTGATTGAATTATTACTCTGCAAGAACAAACAGATCATAAAGATGCATGATAGTTATGAAATCCTTAAAAGCATTAAAGTCCAGAATTTTATATACACAACTCACCATTAATGGTACTTCAACCTTTTCAAGTGAATCCTATCAAAGAAAAAGACCTGATTATACCAGCATAACGTTATCTATACTTCTCGGATGACTTTTCACTAGCGCGCGCTCTAGCTATCTCAGTCTAGTCACGCTTGGAAGGGGAGGAGCCCAGCTCGGACTGGATATAAAAAGGAGTTTAGACTGTTTAGTAGTACAGATTTTTCTGTTTTACATTCATCTTTTACCACCATGATCGCCTATCAAATTGACGGCATTGTGGGACTAACCATTTACTGTGCTTATTTGATGTTCATCATGGTTCATATTGG